TATTCAAACTGATTTAATTTATATTTTTCTTTTATAGTTAGTTGAGTAGATATAAGTTAACTTTGTTTATAGGTAGTAGATATATAAACTTTCTTGTTATTCTATTTTAGAATATAAGTAATATTTTTCTAGTTGTAGATAGCTTCAACTTTTTAAAACTAGTTATTGTTTAGGAGAAAAGAGTAAGAAGTAGTATTTATGATTTTAATATCTATAGAAATAGTTATTCCTTTAATTTCTAAATATCTATCTTGAGTTCTAATTCTTTAACAATCTAATATGAGACTATCCTAATTGAAATATTATAATTAATAATAGCTTAGTAGAGTTTGTTCTAAATTTTAATATTATATTTTATAAATATAGTATGAGTAGAGGTCTGAGCTAGATTGTTGTAGAAAAGTTTAGCAAAGTGAGTTTTAATAGATATTTGCATTAACTTGTTAAAAAAGTAAAATTTAAATTATTCAAAATCATAATTATTAATAAGATTTATAGTATAGATTTTTTAAGAGTAAGGAGTTAAAAATCTGCTTCTAGATCTGTATCAGTTATTATTATTTCAGTTTTGATTTCAATATTTATTTCTTAAGTAACTTTTTTCTTAGCTTTTAGATCTATTATTATATCTAAAATTATTATAGAATCTGTTATTATTGTTATATAACTTATCTCCTTTTTGAGATTAAAAATGATCATAAAAGCAATTATTATTATTTCTTCTATTATTTGATTAATAGCTGTTGTTAAAGTGAGAGTTGTTATTAGAGTAGCTATCTGATTAATAATTGGAATAAGAGCTATTTCAATTATCTTTTTTTTATCAACAAAAATCTTTAATAAAATATTCTTTACTTTATAATAATAGCAAATAGTATCTTATTAATTATTGTTATTATCAGATCTGTGTTTACTAGAGTTATTGTTTGAAAAATAAATTAGTTTAGAAATAAAGCTAATTTGTTTTTTAACAAGATTAATACTTAATTCTATTATTTGTTTAGTAAGTTGTTTAATAGTTTGATTAGTATTATTGCTAGTATTAGAGACTATGAGTTTGTTAGTTTCACATCATTATACTACAATTATAGCTACAGTTAAATTTGCTAGTTCTGAGACTTAGATATTTATAAAATATTCTAGTTAAAGATTGGAACCGTAAAAAATTATATTAACGATTAATCATGTCATGTAACTTTAAATTATGTGATTAATAATCAGTTAATCATTTAACTGTTTATTAATCATTTAATCATTTAACTATTTATTAATCGTTTAACTATTTATTAATCATTTAATCGTTTAATTGTTTATTAATCATTTAACTATTTATTAATTAATAAACGGTTAAATGATTAAATGATTAATAAATAGTTAAACAATTAAATGATCATTTAACTATTTATTAATAATTCAGAACTTGAATAGCTTAATTAAAGTATATCATTAATAAACATTATTTCACTACTAAATTAATACGAATGAATTTAAATTAGTAAAGAAGTATAGTTAATAAATATTTCTTATACTTACCTGTTAAATTAACATGAATAAAATGAAATAATGAAAGATTAAATAGCTTATTTTAAATATTTAAATTAATAAACAGAGCTATTAAGGAAACAGCTTTTAAAAAATCAGGTTATAACTGCTTATATTAATGTATAAAATCTTCTAGAGACTAACGTTTAAGTAAAAGGATTTAAGAAAATTTTTTATAATTCAGATTATTTATAATACACAAATTAGATTCTTCTAAGTTACTACCATTCAACTACAATTGTACAACCATTTAATAACACTAATCGTATAACTATTTATTTAATTTTGTATTAAGACTAGATTATTAGTATAAATTTTAGATAAAAATAAAATAATCAAGAAAAGTAATTTTCTAATCTTTTCATTTATTTATACTAACAGATTAAATAGATATATGAATTATAAATAATTATTTTAAAAATAAAAAAAAAAATATTATTTAAGAATCTAAAATCATTACTGTATTGTTCAGCATAATGAACAGTTACTAGTTAGCAAAATTCTAATATATTTATTCAAAGTAATTCATTCCAATTACATCTTCTATGATAGAAGATATTAGTAGCAAGTTGTTTATCCTTTTAAACATAATTCTTTTTTGTAAAAATTTCAAATATTATATAGTACTGCGATACATTGCTTCGAGAGAAGTTAGCATTAGCAAAATTTTAATAATAATGAATATCTTGATGTCTTGTATTTATCCTTTTCAGTCTAGGGTAGTGTAATCATTATTACTAGATTTAATCTGTCATAGAAAGAAGAATGCATGTTAAAAAAACAAATATAAATATAAAAAAATTACACACAAATTGTTTAAAACATACCTAAATATTCAACATTACGTTTTAAAAAAAGCATTTTTCCAATAAGCTTTGGGCCTAATCATGTACATTGAGACATGATCAGGTTTCCTGCATCTGAGAAAAGTCTCTCACATGGGACAGATATTGCCAATATGCACAAATATTTACGTGCTAATGGTGATAAAATCGGAAACTCATTTTTATGATTGTTCAACTATTGCTAAGAATTATAATTATAATTAATAGATGCAATATCTAAATATCATGCTATTTCATCTAAAGATATAGTATCTTCTTGTTCCTGTATGCCAAAAATACCTTCAAAAAATAGATTTTGCATTATTTCAGTATCTGCTGATAATGGTATTTCTTGTTTCAGTTCATTGTCACTAGTGATATTAAGCTACTGTAAATTCTCAAATTCATTTTTTAATTTTGTTCTAGCCTTTTCTCATTCTCTGCTTGTAAATGCTAACATTTTTTTTGTTCGAGAATCTAGAAGGATAGCAACTAACCTGACTTCACAAAAATCATACCAATATTTGTTTAAAGAATTAAAAATTGCATTTTTAAATTCTTGTTCGATTTTATCGAGATCAGGTGGTGTATGTGAACAAGTATCATGTTTGTAAAATACAGAATCTGGTGAGTAAAATTCATCATCACTTTCAGAATCTAATATGTCTAATTCTACCAATATTAAAAAAGTAATTTTTAAGCAAAATAGGTTATATCATTGCATTTAATATTGATAATTAATATTAACGTCTACTAATAATTGTCTGTATTATTTTACTGACAATAATTTTACTGAAAATATAAAATGGGCTAAACCCTAACCCTAAATCGGGCTAAAATATTAGCAAAATGATACAGTCGATAAAATAAGTGTCAGTGAAATAAGTGCTACCCAATAATTAGTAATTATAAAAATTAATGATTACTAATCATTAGTGAACTTCAAATATTAATTATCATGTTGGAAAAACTTATCATTATCACTGTCATCACAATAATCTTCGTTATCAATTTCAACGCTATTAAAATCTTTGAATCGATTTTGCAATTCTCGGATTGTCAGATATATTATTAAAAGAGTAGGATATTTACTTCCTGAAAAGAATCTTGTTGCAAGTTCAAGTGGTTTTAATGCATTAATAATTCTTTCTAACAAATCCTATTCGTGATCTTTTAAAAGTAACTGAGATAATTTTTGACCATCTTTTTTATTTTCGTTTCCTTTTTGTAATAGTAATGTAGATGCTAACTATTTGATTGCATCTTTTAGTTCTAAAAACTGTGTTCATGAATAATAACTAGAGTTCCATCTTGTACAAATATCAGAAATGTTACATAAAATTTTTATTGTAGGTTCATCCATTTCTTCGTCATCATCTTCTGCAGAATCAATTTCGTTTATATCAAGATTTGACAATTCATTAAACTGAAGGATTTCAACATCCTCTTCTTGAATATAATTTTGATGTGCAAGATCTATCTGTGCTATGTCAAGCCACTCAGATTGTTTAACTGACTTTGTAAAAAATTTTACTAATTTTTTAAATCTTATTACATAAGGTTTGATTTTTTTTAGACTTTTAATTACTAAGAGCTGGAGCGTATGGGCGGAACAAGGTAACCATTCAATATCTTCCCAAATTGTAAAGGCTTTTTTCATATTTGAACCATTGTCAGTGACCTCTATAAATAATTTTTCATTTAAACTAAATTTATCTATCTTATTCTTAAGATAATTACAGATTTTCTCAGCTGTATGAGAATAATGCATATGTTCAATTGTAAGAAGCATGTCAATAGGTTCAAAATTAGGTGTTAGCCAATGAATTGTGATACCAATATATCCAAATTTAGATCATGCAGTTCAGAGGTCTGTGGTAATCGCAACATATTCATATGTTTCATTAATCATTTTTTTGAGTTTAATTATTCTGTCTTAATAATTTGCTGCTATAAAATTTTTACACAATTTATTTGATAGTGTTTTAAACCGTGGATCAATTTTTTTCATAAATCTCTGAAATCCTTTTCTATGAAGTACATTAAAGGATAAAGAATCTATGACAATCTATTCTGTACATGCAGCTTGTAATTCATCTTGTTTATTCAGGCTATGCGGTTTTATGTTTTCAATAACTTGTTTGAGTGTTGCCTAAGTACATTCTTGTTTTCTTGCCTATTTTTATAATTTGAAAAATGTAAATTTAATTTTGTTTTATTAAGTATAAATTAAAATAATACCTTCTTAGCCAGGTTTTCAAGAACTATATCATGTTCTTGTGTTATGTGATAGTTCATTGTTGTTGTTGAATTTGAATTAGCATGATTATATTGACGACTACATTTTTCTTTTTTTCTATCTTTAATTATTTCAACTTGGCATATTGCATGTGACTTTTTTAATTTAAAATATTTCTATACTTCAGCTCTAAATTTACATTTTTTGCTTCTTTTTTTCAGTAAACTAGTATTTTTATTATCTTTTAAGACTGATAGTGATGATTTAAAAGAAGTCCCTATTTCACTACTATTAATATCAAGTTCACTATCGGTTTCGAAATCATTATCTATCTAACTTTCACTATTTTGGATATTCATTTTTAATGAAAAGTTGTTGAATTAACTTTTTTTAAGGTTTTGATTACACTTGTTTACTAATTAAAACTTGTATAAATCAAATTCTAATTTTAGTATTTTACCATGCAAATTTAAACATTTATAAATATAAATATTATCACAGTTATAATGATAAACTTTTAGGTATTTATATATATTTTTAACATTAATAACAAAAAGAAATTGAATCAACTTTTTAAGATTTTAATTATACTTGTTTACTAATTTAAACTTGCATTACATAAAAATCTAATTTTAGTATATCGATATTACACATAAAATTTAAAATGTCATTAATATACTATATTTATTTAATTTTGAATTTTCTGTAGGAATAGGTAGTGTTATACATTTTGGTATGTCCAAAGCTTTTTTGGATATATCCAACGTCCAAATGTCCAAGTGTCTAAAGTGTCCAAGCTGTCCATAGTCTTAAATATTTTAGTAATTAAAATAAAAATTATATGATTATATTTTTTTTTTTAATTTTAAACATTTTTGCTTAAGAAGTTTAAATAGGTTATCTTAATAAAATTTTAAGTAAATTTCAGTTTATTTTTTTGTCTAAAATGTCTAAGATGTCTAAGATTATATCCAAAGGCTGTCTAATGACAACACTGGGAATGGGTATATAAAAACAGTAGTTCTAATCTGGGCTTGTTTATAAAGAAATACGAACTTTATTCTTGATTCATTTATTAGAACTAAAGTAAGCATTTTATTATCAATGTGATCCATTATACTGTAATATAAATCAAATATATTTGTTATTCTGAATACTATTGCTATCTATATACTAAATTTTTAGATACTTGCATCACACCCACTTATAATATATTTATTATTTAATAATGCTCATTTCTAAAGAAAAAAATAAAAAAATGACTGATCAATCATATAATTAACCAAAAAATTTTTCTCGATCACTATCTCCAGTAAGAATATAACTTAGTTGTTTCTATAATAAAGGGTAATATAAGATAAAAGAGGGTATCACAGTGAGGAAGGGTAGTATGACGAACAGTCTTCAATAATAGAATCGAGTAGCTTTATATTTTTTGAACTTCTCTTTGAGAAGAATCAGAGGATGTAGAATCACTTTGATTTTTTTAATGAAATATTTGCTAAATTTCATTTAATAAAATACTGTAACTTACTTATTATCATCCTTACCAGGTTCTATATCATTTTCAGTATTGTTCATACTTAACTCTTTTC